TTCTAACTCTTGGGAATATTTTCAATCAAATGGCAAACGTAAAAAAAATGATTTCTTTTTCCTTCTCATAGTAATTCTCGGCCGAAGTTCAGAACTACTCAGTAAGATATATCAGTGTTGTATAGGGAAAGACTTGTGGAGAAAGCTGTGTACAAAGTCTATGAGAAAAATTAATTATTCATAAACCCATAATAAATCACTTGATGACGTCACCGTGACGTCACTCTTCGGGACACATCTTGGCTATAGGGACTATGCTTATGCCAACTTTCAATGATATCTGACAAGATTAATGCCAAAAGTGCTATAATACGTCCCTGTCTATGCGCATGCATGAACATAAAATCTGTCAAAGTTAGCCGAAAATCGGCTAAAACGGTCACTGTGGACAGGATTTAACCTCAGCAACACGTGCACTGCAGGCTGACTGACATACGATGTATGTGCCTATGTACAACGTACGTGCATGTACATGTACATTGTGGACGTCCTGTCCTGTGCGTGTTTTGAAGCAGAGGTATTGTCAACGTGAAGTTTTAAGCGTGCGTAGGGTATGTTCAAGTTCGCTTATCGCCTCGAAACTTTGAAATGTTTTAGACCTACCCTTCAATCGACGATTAAAGTAAAAACAAATAGAAAAACTGCCATAGTTGATTTTTCAGGAATTTTCAAACGAAAAAGGGTCTTTTTATTATAACTTCCGGTCTGATGACGTCATTCGCCTAAAACTTCGCACACGTCTTAAGTGGGTCAAGGTCATCATATACACCAATATTTAGGCGATTCCGACAAACTTCGCCACAGACATCTATTCAAAATACATTTTTGCTAATTTTCAACCTGTCGCTAGAGGGCGCTCGAAGATTGCATGACGTCATCGGTAGATGATTTCAAGAATACTATCGGCCAAAAGACTAACACCGTTAAAAGCAAGTTCATTTCTATTACCACTTTCAAATAATAAGCCACTTCCGGTTTGGGCCTTTTTCGACCGGAAGCAAGGGTCACGTGATTGCACGCACACTGAATGAAATGAAGACCTCAACCTACTCTACCACTTGCCGGCAACAGAATGCTGCGGACGCGTACGGTTGATTTCTTATGCATTTTTAAATATTAAAAGTGTCACAATTTAATTGCCTATAAATAAACACAGGATGACGTCATCATGACGTCATCATTCCACAATGTTGTTTGAATAAGGGTCTTTGCTTGGACAAAGAGTGGTGTAAATGAATAACTGGCAAAGAGTCGAAAATGCCCTTTGAAAAGCGACATTTTTTTTTAAATTTCTGTGTACAAAGTCTATGGGAAAAATTAAATATTCAAAAATCCGTAATAAATTAGTCGATGACGTCACCATGACGTCACTCTTCGGGGCACATCTCTGCTATATGGACTATGACTATGCTAACTTTGAATGACGTATGACAAAGATAAATGTCAAAAGTGGCACTGAGAAAAAACGTGTACAAAGTCTATGGGATTTAGGCGACAAAAAGAAGAAGAAGAAGAAGAAGAAAGAAATAAAACTAGAGGTCTATGTCTGTTTGCAACAGAACATAGGGCTTTTCCGCATTATGATTTTTTTTAATCAATAATATGCCCTGAATATGCATGAACATAAAATCTGTCAACGTTAGCCGAAACATCGGCTAAAACGGTCAATGTGGACAGGATTCGACCTCGGCAATACGATGTATGTGCGTGTGTACAAGGTCTTTGCTTGGACAAAAAGTGATCTAAATAAATTACTGGCAAAGAGTCGAAACGCACTTTGAAAATCGACAATTATTTTTAAATTTTTGATGACGTCATCGTGACGTCACTTCGAACTTTGCATACTAGTATGATTAACTACCAACCCACCAAGTTTTATGACAATTGGACCTTTCCTTATATGAGTTTTGAAAAATTGCATTTTGATGACGTCATGATGACGTCACACATTTTTCAAGTTTTGTGCGAATAGCTATTACATAACAGACCAAATGCAAAAAAGAATTTTGCATTTTGCATGTTGCGTTCGGGAGATATGGCTAAAAGATACAAAAAAATAAATATTCATATAAAATCTCAGGATGACGTCATCATGACGTTGCCTCATTTTTAATCTATAACACATCCTGGTATAGCCACATACCAAGTTTCAACCCAATCGGACTTACATTTCTGTAGATATAAGACTTCACAATATGTACGTAAATTTTCAAAAATCAATACAAAAAATAGGTGATGACGTCATCGTGACGTCATGGTCTTGGCATAATTTTTGTATGAGGGTCTTCCTTGGCTGTTACTTTGATGACGATTCCAGATCGCCAAGTGATGGCTTGAAAACGTATACAAAGTCAATGGGTTAAAATCCCACAGCAGAGAAACTGCACCTTTAAATACGTAATTTGCCTTTAAACTGAAACCTTTTTATAAAATATTACTTGATATTCTGACTCTTGGGAATATTTTCAATCAAATGACAAACGTAAACAAATACGATTTCTTTTTCATTCTCATAGTAATTCTCGGCCGAAGTTCAGAACTACTTAATAAGATATATCAGTGTTGTATAGGGAAAGACTCGTGGAGAAAGCTGTGTACAAAGTCTATGAGAAAAATTAATTATTCATAAATCCATAATAAATCACTTGATGACGTCACCATGACGACACTCCTTGGGACACATCTTGGCTATAGGGACTATGCTTATGCCAACTTTCAATGATATCTGACAAAGATTAATGCCAAAGTGCTATAATACGTCTCTGTCTATGCGCATGCATGAACATAAAATCTGTCAAAGTTAGCCGAAAATCGGCTAAAACGGTCACTGTGATGTGGACAGGATTTGACCTCGGCAACACGTGCGCTGCAGGCTGACTGACATACGATGTATGTGCCTATGTACAACGTACGTGCATGTACATGTACATTGTGGACGTCCTGTCCTGAGCATGTTTTGAAGCAGAGGTATTGTCAACGTGAAGTTTTAAGCGTGCGCAGGGTATGTTCGAGTTCGCTTATCGCCTCGAAACTTTGAAATTTTTTAGACCTACCCTTAAATCGACAATTAAAGTAAAAACTAACATAAAAACTGCCACGGTTGATTTTTCAGGAATTTTCAAATGAAAAAGGCTCTTTTTATTATAACTTCCGGTCTGATGACGTCATTCGCCTAATACTTCGCACATGTCGTAAGTGGGTCAAGGTCATTATATACACCATTATTTAGGCGTTTCCGACAACCTTCGCCACAGACATCTATTCAAAATACATTTTTGCAAATTTTCAACCTGTCGCTAGAGGGCGCTCGAATATTGCATGACGTCATTGGTAGATGATTTAAAGAATACTTTTAGCCAAGACACTAACACCGTTAAAAGCAAGTTCATATCTATTACCACTTTCAAATAATAAGCCACTTCCGGTTTTGGCCTTTTTCGACCGGAAGCAAGGGTCACGTGATTTCACGCACACTGAATGAAATAAAGACCTCAACCTACTTTACCATTTGCCGGCAACAGAATGCTGCGGACGCGTACGGTTGATTTCTTATGCATTTTTAAATATTAAAAGTGTCACAATTTAACTGCCTATAAATACACACCGGATGACGTCATCATGACGTCATCATTACACAAAGTTGTTTGAATAAGGGTCTTTGCTTGGACAAAGATTGGTGTAAATAAATTACTGGCAAAGAGTCAAAAATGCCCTTTGAAAATCGATATTTTTTTTTTAATTTCTGTGTACAAAGTCTATGGGAAAAATTAAATATTCAAAAATCTATAATAAATTAGTCAATGACGTCACCATGACGTCAATCTTCGGGACACATCTTTGCTATAGGGACTATGCTTATGCAAACTTTGAATGATGTCTGACAAAGATTAATGCCAAAAGTGGCACTGAGAAAAAACGTGCACAAAGTCTATGGGGTTTTGGCGACAAAAAGAAGAAGGAAAAAAAAAAAAAATGAGAACAAAAACAAAGGCTTTTCCGCACTATGCGGAAAAGCCAATGAGAACAAAAAGAAAGGCTTTTCCGCTTTTTTGCGGAAAAGCCAAAAATAACAGAAACAAGAGCTGTTTCGGTGTGTACACCGAAACAGCTAAAAAAAAAAATGAGAACAAAAACAAAGGCTTTTCCGCAACTTTGCGGAAAAGCCAATAAGATTAAATGGGACTCAAAGGTGGATTGTTAAGGCTTAAAACCAATTACATTGCATGGGGACATTTAAAGTGAATGCAGATATTAAGTTTGCTTGCATTACAGACAAGAATGGACTTTGTAAATTTTGTGAATTTTATATGCTGTAAATGAACATATTGTACATGAGTTTATAACCACGAGATTACAAGTAAAGGATCAAGGGACCATGGTGACCTGGTGGACCCATTCAAGCAGGTAATGTTGTTTCCTTTGCAAATCTTGTAAGTGAATTTTATGACAGGGGCATTCAACTTTAGCCTTCCAAAGGGTGAGTAAAAAAACCAAATGGAAACCCAAATGTCAGGACCATTTTTTAATGAAGTTCTACATGCAGCACTTTCAAAATCTAGGATATTAAAGCCCAATTAATAAGGTTTCTTTTAGTACAAGAATCATTCAAATTACTCATGTACTGTTCAAGTTACAGAATTTTTAACACAAACACCGTGTTTAAGTTCTGTCCACGGATCACAAAAAAATACAAATGTTCTTTCAGCAAAACGAAAACAATTCACATACATCCCTATATAAATTGTTGAAAGTACATGAGTGATTTGAATGAGTCTTGTATACTAAAAGAAAGCTTATTTATTGGGCGTTATATCCAACAGTTTGAAAGAACTTCATTAAAAAATGGCCGTGACATTTGGGTTAACTTTTTTTCTTTACTCACCCTGCACAGCCCATGGTGCGATTACTTGAAATCTTGCCAGATTTTGTGGTATGTATACTAGTCTGGCATGTGTTGTGCGGCTGTGGTTAATTGCAATGCGAAAATAAAGTTCACTTACCTGTCAAGACGCAAATCGCTGCGGGGATCACAATGGTAATGCAATCAGAAACATGAAACATCTTACGAGCCATCTTGTCTCCAAATGTTGTACACACAAAACCTGCCGAGAGAAAGTATAAAATATGTAACTTTCAGATATTTCACGGGAAAGTTGTAATCCACGTAAAAATTACACTTTCAAGATATCACAAGATCAACCTAATGTAGCTAGGTAAAAAAAAATACGGAAAATTTGCACGCCGCACTCCGACGGAAGACAGATCACGACCTCAGGTCACAGAAATACATGTATGTTTAAAATACATTTTGAGCTACATGTGCTGTTAAGTAAACGTTAATGAAACCTTGATATAAAGGTAATCTAATAACTATAAATCAATGGTTATAAGGAAAACCCCTGCAGATCCACTAAATTATAAGAAATAATTAAGGACTACAAAAAAAAATCGTTTGAACACAAAGCTCGAGTTAATATTTTTTTTGCAACCGTTAATATTAACTACCCCATTGAAAAGTGTCACTAAAAGTTTCATTTGTTTTCCTTCAGAAGTCGCAAAAGAACGGGGCTCCATAACCCGAAAATGTAATGAATACTGTTAGCACAACCATCCATATACGTGACGACCCGACCAAAACGTTTTAATTGGAGCTATTTTCATAATGATCATGAAGCAAGAAGGACATTTCGTCCAAATCAATTATACATATTTTCCGTATAAGGAACACTTCACACACACAGGTTTGTTTATGGTGTAAATCGAGGATTTTCTATTGTTCCTCTTCCCTTTTCCTTTACTTGTTTATACTCACGTGTGTTTCCTCGATTTACACCATAACCACGCACCCATGTTTACGTTACATACGTAGTGTGGACAATCCTTTGTTTTCGTGTATAGTTAAGAAAAACCAGTGAAAAAAAACTCATTTTACTCACACTGTGAAAACTCTTTCAACCCAATTTTCTGAATATAGTCTAAATATTCGATAGATAACACATATCGAATTTCGAACACATCTTTCTGTTTTCAAATTTCGTGAACTTTTGCTGCAAAAATTCCCGTCCGATTATTCGTAGGCTACACTTGGCATTCTGTGTGCCACCGACACTTCAACGTTTGTCTGCATGCCCGACTTTAATTTCTCGATTTCTTTTTATCTTTCCAGGAACAAGAGATCTCAACAAAAATGTACTCGGTCTAGAGTTCCACGCTGATCAGACGTGACGCATAATAACACATGGGTTGTCAAAACGATCTCCCTTGTCGATTTAGCAGTAATGTAAAACCTCTTTGGAGCATGCTTGTTAAAGGCTTAAAAGGCAGTGTATATACCGATACTCATATTTATACTTGGCGTGGAGATTTTGCATCGGTAGAGAATCAAGTGCAACTTTAATAATATATATACTGTACAGGCAAAACAAGCGAAACCCAAATGTCGGAACTATTGTTTTAGTGAAGTTCTGCATTTCGCACTTTCAAAATCTAGGATATCAAAGCCAAATTCATAAACTTTCTTTTAGTATAAGAATCATTCAAATCACTCAGGCGCTTTTCAGGTTACGGTATTTTAAACACAACCACCGTTTTAAAGTTCTGTCCACGGATCTCAAAAAAAGATGCGCGTTCTTTCAGCAAAACGAAAACAATTCACACACATCCCTATGTGATTTGTTTTCGTTTTGCTAAAAGAACACTTACCTTCTTGTTATCTGTCGACAGAACTATAAAACGGTGGTTGTGTTTAAAATCCCGTAGCTTGAAAAGTACATGAGTGATTTGAATGATTCTTGTACTAAAAGAAAGCTTATGAGTTGGGCTTTCATATCCTAAATTTTGAAAGTGCTACATTCACTTTACTCACCCTGTACATATAAAAGCAATCGCGTCGGCTTACATGAATCAGTTTACATTTACTTTTTCGACATTGTTTCTTCTCTTGCTCTCTTATTATGACTGAGATTTGACGACAGAAACTATGGAGAATTGTCAAGTCCACTGTTTAAAAGGCATGGATTCACATCACTATGCAATCATTTTGAGACTTCCATCCAAGCTATAATGTTATTATCGCTACATGCGCAGGTGGCTAGTATGGATCTAAAATATACTGTATCGGATTTTTAACCATGCGGTATAATGCGGTTTAAAGTCGGCGAATGCAAGAAAAAAAAAAAGCCGAGCAAAGTCTAAGCTGTAAAAGGCTATACCTCTTTTTCAATTTTACTTTTCGATGACATTGATAGGAAAGTCTTAAAGGAGAAAAATACCGAGAAAATGTTACATCACGTCTGTCCTTACCAGTGGATACAATGCCGATACAGCTTAACGTCACTAAGAAAGACTATTAACTTATTATTAAGTTCTACAAGTACAGGTATTTTTTATCCAGCTAAGTGGCTCCACGGCAGTTACACTCTGGTAACAGCAGATGACGCGTTGGGAGTAATATTCTCGCTTTGGTGGATGATGATACTGCCAAAGTCAAGGAAGCGTATCATTTGTTTTGCCTCGTCTCCTAGCAACCTCAGGAAAACATCAGGTAAATCACCCTCTCCCCCCGAAATAATGGATGCTTTTTTAAGCACCTGCCGAATCCCCTTTAGCTGCAATGCGTGTTGGCCCGCGGTGGTTGCTATGATGCATTCGAAATGTCTCATCGGAGACTACTTGCGAATATAATGGGATTTTTTTGTTGTTGTCATAGTAGCTGACGACCCAATCGACCAAATGAACCAAAACTAATGCAAGTGCACTTCAAACCCTATTCAGACAACACATTTTATGCCCAGAGCCCAATGCTTTCACATAGACGAACTGGGGCACAAAATACACATTTAAATATTTCCTTACACCGAACTGTATAGGTTCGGCTGTAAAAAAAAAGTGGGTGATATTTGTTTATGCTGTTGGAGCTAGCAGCTTTTCTCTTTGTGTTACGATGTCCTCCAAAAAGTCAAGATTTAGTCAGTACAACCATGGTTTGGATTAGGTTTCGAAAATTACCACTGATGCGGGTGTAAATTTAATTGCCAGGTTATTTTTTTTAACGCAGGTCCTTCGGGAAATGTAGGCAGTGGCTGGGGGGGGGGGGGGTGGTGGGGGGGGGGGGGGCACGTGCCCCTGAAAATTTTCCGTGCCCCCCCCCAGGAACTCCCCCTATCAAAATACTGACCTTCCCCAACCAAAAAGGGTTTTCGTTAAGTTGTATTTTTTTTCAGTTAGCCAAAACTGTTTACAATTTCTTATGTCAATGGATATAGCGAGGCATTATGGGGCCCAACTGGGGAAAACTGCAATAGGACGTTTGCGATATGTGACCCCCATGATGTTCTGAAACCCCCCCCCCCCCCACACACACACACACCTTAAAAAAATTCTAGCTACGCCACTGAATGAAGGGAAACAACTCCTCCCGGGAAACAACCCTTCGTTAAGGAGCGTTGAACAAGTTTGGTAGCCAAAAGTAAGTTAAAGTCAAACTTTCACCACACCTGTTGTAAATACCAAAGCACACCAGATGCAGAAGATGTCGCCTTGTCGCCCACACAAAATCTCTTTAAGACATTATCCTTTAAAGAATGTCACATATCAAGCTTGACCCCCGAATGGTTCCTTTACCAATTGCAACGGCGGGAGGATTTTTTTAGGGGAACTCCCGTCTCCCCACCGCAACATTGTCTCCACAGGATTCTTGACCTCGGCTGTTTCTTGTTATACCAACTACATCAACTGCTAACATGACTACGAATTCACGTTGCTTGCAAATAATATGTTGGTAGCACATTTTAAAGGGCCGTGAGATGACTTTTTCTCAGGAACACATTTTGTGCAACTTTCGAATACATTTAAATGTATGAAAAGTGTTTGAAATGCCTTTTCATTAATTTGATTGAAAAGTGTTTTCTGCTTTCTATAATAAGTTTCTCTGTGTCATTATGTCTATATACAAGATCTGGTTATGCAGCTTGAGCTGTGGAAAATGGCAACACGTCGACATGAAAAATTACGCTGTTATGACAACCAAGCTGATTACAATGCGTCAAAGAGCGCAATGAGCCAAACAAAATGCGAGAGTCTTTTTCCGTAGGAAAATGCTTTTTTTCTATAGGAAAATGCTAATCTCGACCAGCACAACCACCTTTGAAAAACCATAATCATTCAATTAGAAAGACAAACACTTGAGTGGGATGAACTACATCGAAACATTTCTGTTGGCAAAACAACTATAGTATGTCTGTTCAATATGATGAACAGAACACAGGGCTTTTCCGCCTTTTGATTTTTTCACGAGTCTATGTTTTTTGTATTCCATGTGCAGGCATGTCAATAATCAATTTCATGTACGAACAAAGCTCCGTAACAATACCTCTTCCTCTCATTACAAACATAGTTTTGACTCGGCATGTTTGTTTGCTAGATAAAGTGAATAATGTTTAAAAATGCCGCAAATTCAGAAAAGCCGACGGGATAACGTAATAATATATCTATACCTCGGAGCAATAAAGCAGTGAAACACAAATGCAATTGTCACGAAGTATTTTACATCACAAATACAAATTAGCACTACATCCAGTTCAGAAACTAACATTAATATAACTCCTCATCCTGCATTCGGACGCCGCGGTGAAAGAGTTGAATAATGGAAGAAATATCTACCTCGGAGTATTACAAAGCAGTCAAACAAAATTGTAAGTGTCACACACATACATCACAGGAGGTTAAAAATGAGCCCTCCATCCAGTTCAGAAACAGACATCAATATAATTCTCCCACCTGCATTCAGACTGGGAAGCAGAGTTCAATATGATGAAATATCTCCTTCAGCGTAACAAAAGAGGCAATTATTACTAGCCTTAAAATAGAAAGATACTTACAATAATAATAATAACAACCGTATTTATGAAAGCGCCTAAATGAATGCAACTAAAGACAGGTAAATGAAGTATAAGGACATAATATTATGAGACCCATAATGTAGCAACTTTTTGCTAGGTGCATTGTAGCCACTGCTGCCAGAAACAACGGGGCAAACCCCTTCTCTTAGCGACAATTATTGTTACCGGGTTCTTTAACGTGCATTACACAACACCAGGGGTGT